GGCGGGAGGGGGGCAGATAAAATAGTTTTTTTGGCCAACGTTGCTCCTTAAAATACTTGTTTTCTGTGCTTTAACCTGCAATTTTTTATGTTGGTAAGTTTGACAAATTGAGGCCTTTGATATATACAAGCATTCAGGAATGCTTGTATGGTGTGGGAAGGGTGAGGTGTGGGAAAAGTGTGCCCCTTTCCCTCTGTCGCCTTTGTGCTGGCCTGGAAATCGGCACGGTGGATCTCTATGGCTAAATCAGAGGCATCAGCACATTCCGCCGACTGATCTCCCCTCCGATCACTGAATGCAGAAGTGGTATGAATTACGTCACTTCCGGTCTCAGTTTGTCATTTCCGTGGCTGCTGTAGCCAGAGAAGTTGGAGTGACATTAGTGGTCTAATAGACCCCAGATGTCTCCATAAAGAGGACCTGTCACTGTGTATGTGCTATCACATAGGGGATTACTAGCTTCCTATAGTAATAAAGTTAAGTGTAAAAAAATAAAAGTTTAACAATTAAAGTCTCAAAACAAATGTAAAAAAACTAAACTGAATTTTTTGAAGTCCCATGCCCCCTTGAACACACATACATACATACAAACACGCATCGGGTGCACCTATGTGCAAAAACGACGATTGCACCACACACATTACATGTGATCGCGAACATCAGAATGCAAGCAATAATTCTAGGGCACAGCCTTGACCACTACCCCCCCCTCCCCCCGTCTATTTCAAATTGCAAAAGCCAATAGCAGGTTGGCTATTGCACCCGCCCACTGGGCAAAGGAGCATAACTCAGAGACAACTTTCTCTCTCAGGTTCTCTCCTCTGCTCAGTGGGCGGGGTTTCAATAGGCGGTCTGCTATTGGCTATTTCCAATTAAATGACATCCACCTGTTGCCTGGAGAAGCTAACCCGCAGGAGAATGGGGCCGCACACGGGGGAGGGCAATGGGGGTTGTGCCGCGGGAGGGGGGTTGCAAGTAGCTGGTCTTGCCTAGGGCGCAAAATAGTCTAGCACCGGCCCTGGTTACATGACTGAATAAATGTCATGGTACCTCAGAGCTGAAGACTGAAAAATGGCCGGGACAGGAAATGGGTGTGACACCCTGGGCTTCTAGTGGTTATTGTAATTTTGGGAGTAACATCCCAGCTGGAGCCCCCTTCACCCACCCTGTGGTTCCCTTTCCATTGAGAGTGTCACCATCGGCCCTTCCATCTTGCGGTGACTGCTCCTAGTCAGCACTTTGGGTTCACTTTAAGCTTTCCTTCCATGCTGCCATTGTTGGCCCCGTCCTTGTCTCTGCGTCTATACATAAAAGTCGCGGCAAGGTATTACAAAGTGTCAGATATTTATCAGAATAATAGAATGGCGGGATGGGATATCACAGACAATAAACATCCGAGAGACGTCAGCGTCTTGGCTCCGGAGACGGCGGCGTATATTTAATGAAAAGTCATCTTATTGTTCTAGTGCCGAGTTGGATGACAGCTATGCAATACTTTATACAATATTTAATGACTGGATGATGAGTAACATCAAACATGATTATCCCCGAGAGAATACCGCGCCATCGCAGCCTCCAGGAACAACAATGCCGGCCAATCAGATCGCTTTTCGGGAGCATATTAAAGCAAAACTCCGGGAAGAAGTCATTGTGAGATCTCAGATATACGCACCATATAGAGGAGCCGCCACAGGGACTGTCCATGTGCACATTCATCAAATCACTGATCTGGTCCTCGCCCATCTGATGGAGGAATATGGCTACTGAAGCTCTGCTTCCTCAGTCACCTCTCCTCCCCCCTGCTTGCTGAATGGTCAATGAAGGGTCACTCACAGTGCTGAACCTCCTCCGGCCGGTCTGAGCTTTAAGTGTAGGCGGCTAAATTTGACTTGGTATCAACCTCCTCCATTGGTATCAGCCTCCTGCAGTCCCTGTACAGCGCAGCTCAGAGAGGGGAATAGAGAAGAATCACACAGAGTAAATGAGATGTGCTGCAGTGCAAGAAGCATGCTGATGAGAGGAGAATGCAGAGTGACAGAGAGATGAGTTCATCAGTCTACTGCTACTACTTCCAATGCCCAGTCACAGGGTGGGTTGTGCGGTGTCTCAGGTGGGCTGGGCGGGCTCTCAGGTGAGCTGCGCAAGGTCTCAGATGGGGTCTCAGGTGGGCTGTGCAGCGTCTCAAGTGGGCTGTGCAGGGTCTCGTATGGGCTCTTAGGTGGGTTGTGCTAGGTTTCAGGAGGTTGTTCAGGCTCCCAGGTGGGCTGTGCAGGCTCTCAGGTGGCCTGCGCAGGCTCCCAGGACAGCCCACCAGAGAGCCCTGAGGTAAGCTGTGCGGGCACTCAGGTGGGCTATGCTGGGTCTCAGGAGGCTGTGTAGGCTCTCAGGTAAGCTGTGCAGTCTTAGGTGGGCTGTGCAGGCTCTCAGGTGAGCTGTGCAGTCTTAGGTGGGCTGTGCAGGCTCTCAGGTGAGCTGTACATAGTATCAGGGGCTGTGCTGGGTCTCGTATGGGCTCATAGGTGGGTTGTGCTAGGTCTCAGGAGGTTGTGCAGGCTCTCAGGTGAGCTGCGCAGGCTCTCAGGTAAGCTGTGCGGGCTCTCAGGTGGGCTATGCTGGGTCTCAGGAGGCTGTGCAGGCTCTCAGGTAACCTGTCCAGTCTTAGGTGGGCTGTGCAGGCTCTCAGGTGGCCTGCGCAGGCTCTCAGGACAGCCCACCAGAGAGCCCTCAGGTAAGCTGTGCGGGCTCTCAGGTGGGCTATGCTGGGTCTCTGGAGGCTGTGCAGGCTCTCAGGTAAGCTGTGCAGTCTTGGGTGGGCTCTGCGGGCTCTTAGGTAATTCCATGCTCTCTGTTCATTCTGTGTTTGCATTTCATACAGTACAATGCAGTACATGAACAGTCAATTAATAAAAAACTAGTTTTCTCTTTCTGCTCCAGTGGATTCCCTTTTCCCGGATACAATTCTCATCTTTCTGTTCACTCGGAGCATTATACTGAGACCTCCAGATAAAATCAGCAGCCACAATTGTGCATTCAGCCGTACACAGCCCGCTTAACCAGCCCCACTGACAATGTAACAAGATCCTGGATGAGCTCCATTCAGCGGGATACTTTGACTTCCGATAACCGCCGAATTCCCCCCTGTATTCCGTAAAACGCTCACCGCCGATGTATGGGAGCCCATTCTTCCCGGCTGAAAGGAAGTGTTTTTACAGGATAACTGCGCCGATTATCATGCAAAATGAACGCGGCTTCAATGAATTCGGAGGATTCCCGGGAGGACTTCACAGGGAAAGCTGCGAACAGACAGATCTCTTCAAATATCGTGTTATCTGTCACCGATCCCCTGCGAGCATGCCACCCGGAGCAAGGTCACTGTATCAAATGTATCTGCCACTGGTAGCCGGGCTATGGAAGTATGGAGTTCGAAAGTTCAGGTTCAAAAACCTCTATAGGCAAACGCCAGTCCTCCAGCTGTGGTGAAACTACAATACCCATCATATATCTGCCCCTGGGAGTCATGCCTTTGGCTGTCAGAGTCTTGCAGAGCCTTGTAGTTGGGACTTGTAGTTGGAGGACCACAGCTGGAGGGCTGGAGTTTGCCCCACCCCTGCTCTATAGGATCCTCTTCTCTGTTCCTGTGTGTTGTGTTAATGTCACACATCTTACAGCAGGTTTTGTCAACATGCATTGTGAATGATCTGCCGGACAGGAAAGGACCAAAAAATGGACGTGTAGCATTTTCCTCCAGAGCACAGAGTATTTAAGGAGAGCAGAGATAGATAGAGGAAGGAGCAGAGTCCTCCAGCAGAGCAGAGTATTTCAGGAGAGGAGAGTTATAGGGGAAGGAGCAGAGTCCTCCGGCATCACACAGTATTTCAGGAGAGGAGAGTTATATAGAGGAAGGAGCAGAGTCCTCCAGCAGAGTATTTCAGGAGAGAGTTATATAGAGGAAGGAGCAGAGTCCTCCAGGAGAGTATTTCAGGAGAGGCAAGTTACAGAGGAAGGAGCAGAGTCCTCCAGCAGAGTATTTCCGGAGAGGAGAGTTATATAGAGGAAGGAGCAGCGTCCTCCAGCAGAGTATTTCAGGAGAGAGTTATATAGAGGAAGGAGCAGAGTCCTCCAGCAGAGTATTTCCGGAGAGGAGAGTTATATAGAGGAAGGAGCAGCGTCCTCCAGCAGAGTATTTCAGGAGAGAGTTATATAGAGGAAGGAGCAGAGTCCTCCAGCAGAGTATTTCCGGAGAGGAGAGTTATATAGAGGAAGGAGCAGCGTCCTCCAGCAGAGTATTTCAGGAGAGAGTTATATAGAGGAAGGAGCAGAGTCCTCCAGCAGAGTATTTCCGGAGAGGAGAGTTATATAGAGGAAGGAGCAGCGTCCTCCAGCAGAGTATTTCAGGAGAGAGTTATATAGAGGAAGGAGCAGAGTCCTCCAGCAGAGTATTTCCGGAGAGGAGAGTTATATAGAGGAAGGAGCAGCGTCCTCCAGCAGAGTATTTCAGGAGAGAGTTATATAGAGGAAGGAGCAGAGTCCTCCAGCAGAGTATTTCCGGAGAGGAGAGTTATATAGAGGAAGGAGCAGCGTCCTCCAGCAGAGTATTTC